GGGTAATCAAAGGTGCGATGGCGAGCATATTTCTAACGCTCAGCACGATGCATCACGTCGCCATAATAGGTGATACCATAGTTTTATAGCGACAAAAATAGTTTCATAGCATAATACGGGGTTCGGAACCGCTTTTCTTTGAAATGTAAATGAAAGGCAGATTTCTGTATATATCATGCATAGCAAATTTTAGACCCCCCAACACTCTTCAAAATCCACTTACCAGCCTCCTGCCGGGCCCACTATAGCTGTTACAGTCTAACTTGGCAATTTGAACTACAAGAATGAAACAGATCCGGGGATAAAAATAACATGTTAAATCATAGTCTATATTGCATTCGAGACAAAGAATTCATTCTGAGGAGGTTGAGCTAATTCGGAGGCTATATACCAAATAATGAAAGGATTCTAATGAAGTGTAAAACTAGAAGAAATCATATTGATTGTATAATAAGCTATATACCTACTCATAGTGATATGGTCGAGACTCTAGGCTAGAGATATGGTAAACGAAGTGTAAATATGGATCGTTTTGTTATTGGACACGAAATGGACTTATGAATCGTTTTCCTATTGTGTTGTTGTTGATCTTGTTATTGGGTACGGGGTGGAACTGTGGATTGTTTCGTTATTATGTTGTTCTTGTTCTTTATGTTTATGACTTCTTCTTCCTATCGTTTAAAAATAATCGCCTTCTTATTTAATTACTGGACCAATTGCTTTGTATTTTTCGCTAGAAATCTTTAATTTTATATATTCCAAATATTTTTGTGATCTATACGGGACTTGTTTTTTGTGTGACATTTCCAGTATCGGTACCCTGGATAGGGGGCTCCTGAAGTATGCGAACCAAGATGGCGGACATCGGAATGTAATATGTGTACTAGGTTAGGGTTAGGCCATAATTTTAGGTACAAATACTACGAGAGGCACTTGGCTAGTCTTCGAACTCATAGTAGGACTAAAATAAGGGAAATTGGAATAAAATTATGGCCTAACCCTAACCTGTTACCCATGTTACGTTTCGATGTCCGCCATCTTGGTTCGCATACTTCAGGAGCACCCTGGATAGTCGAGTTGTCATTGATGAGTTGTCCTCTTCCTAATATGGCTACTGGTAAGGTACCGCATATGATTTTCGGGGAATTGATGCTAAAATATTTTGTTTTATATTTGAGCGTAGCTCTCATGTCCTTGTTTTATCGTATTTTTCTTCCTAGCGTCATGAAATAGTCGCCTTTCTCTTTAATTGCTGGACTAATTGCTTTGGAGTTTTCAGTGGTTAAAGATTGTATTCTTTGCTGGTAGTTATTTTAAATTTTTCTGTGGGCTCTATGGGACTCGTTTTTTGTGTGCCACAACGTCATTGAAAATTGCGCGCCTTGTGGCGATTCCGCGTTTGCGGTAGTTGTGAGGATTGCGGGAACGGTACTGTGACAGATTGCTACTTCGTTTTGGCCTTCAGTGTCCATATATTTGAGCATCGCTCTCTTGTTAACTTAGTTATGTACGCCGTGAAACACGTTTTGGCAGATTGACTTCGTTTGACATGAACTTTTGTGCTAAGTTTTAGTAAAATCTTACCAAAATAACCAAATTATTCCTAAATAATAGCATATTTATACACATCTTTTAGACGTGTGAAATAAGCAGGAAGGAGAATGTCATATTCATGTTGATCCGATGATTTGTAATTTTTGAAATGTGATTTCCGACAGCAGTGAAATTTCATACTGATATAACAGCAGGATCATGGGAACACGGCACGAGAAATGAACCTGCTTTGGAATGTAAACAAACTATGATGAACTATTTTTATTCTTTGAAAATTTAAAATGCGTTCCAGTCTGCTAAAATATCAATAATTTTGCGACAACTTCTCATCTAGTCCAGTCCACATTGCGCTGTGTTTTCTTGTTTCCTATCTTTTACTAAGATTTTCTGTTAGCTTTTTATATGAACAGTGAGAAAATTACATTACTTCATTATAAATAATTCATGAATCTTGCTGCACGCTAACGCAACTATATATATATATATCTGACCGACGTCAGACTTCTTCAGACAAATAATTTAACTGCAACAAGAAGGGCATTTGCATGCATATTTAAGCAATGAGTATCACATCATTGGAGTTACGCATATTATTAAATTTATAAAAGCATCAATTGACGAATATTAATTAGCCGTGGGAGACTATGATATAAAGTTATTAATGAGTTTTTTTGTTTGTTACTAATCGATCTTGATCGGTCAGTATGTTGATAGGTATTTGTCTGTCTGTCTGTCTGTTAGATGCACGCGATTTTGGATGAATTATGTCGTATAATTAGCGAGTTTTTACCTAATTAGTGATGAGACACGCGGTGTCACTATAGAGTCATGAATTGAAACCGCAGTTTCGATTGATAAGTCGTCGGTCTCCGACCGATATTCTCGTTTATGTTTGGGTATGTTCGCGGACTAAAGTGTCAGTTTTTATATTGTGTGTATATATATATTTTTATGTTTGTGAACAGTTATGTTGACCCTTGTCAATCACTCGTTTTAGCAAAACGAGTTGAACAATCCACAACATTCTTCGGGTAGAGACTCCTCTCACTTCATGCAGTCATATGTGCTTGTAGTTGTTTGTGTGTTTTGTGTGACAAGATATACCGGTAGTAACTTGGTAAAGAAAACGCATACCGGTATCGTTTCATTATATTCTGTTCCATTCTATTCGAGTCTGCAGCAGAAGTTTTATTCCAAGTTTTCTTTTCAGTATTTTACAACTAGAGATGGTTTGTTTTTCTTGAGTATTTTTGTACGGGTACGGTACCGTAACTGTTTCGTAATTTTTCTATCTCGACTTATTGCATATGAAAAAACGAAAACCTCGAATTTTATTGCTGAAAATAGACTTCGTCTTATTTGCCAGATCTGCAGATTGACTTACCGTACCCGTATTAGGCGAATAATAGGGCACGGTATTCAGAATGGAAATCCCCAGCACATCCAAACAGTCATGTGACGTATGAGCATGACGTAAGGTAATTGTTTTATTTACAAGGAGAAAATTATCAAAAATAGGCCTATTTGTCTCGTGACCTTGGGCTGGGAAACTAAATAATGACTGAATGATGAGATTGCCAAGTCTAAATAGTTTAGTACATTAGTGTCAGTTTTTGGCTTAGAAAGTAGGGATTTTTAAAGTTAATCTAATAGGCTATATTTAAGTCTGATAATTCAAATTTTCGATTTTAGGAATAAATTCAATAGTCCAGTTCAGGTATTTTGTAGTCCCACAGAAATAATACAAATGACTTCATTTAATTTCTAAAAACTGTAAAAAGTCTGAAAGTAGAGAATGAAATTGTTTGTAACAGAAATAATAGTTTCAATTATATAATTTTTTGATAAATTTTTTTTTTTTAAATTTCTCTTAAGCTAAATTTGCTGACCTTTGATGGCGTAGTTAGAGCTGGCCATTTCAAGTCGAATGTTCAAATCAGTTCAGGCGAAAATTTTGGATCGCGGTTATTTTTTTTGCATTAAAACCATATTTTTTGATGCAGTTCTGAGATATGACTCTTGACATATTCTTTCTAATGAGTTATTGATAAAACATGTTTTTTCATTGTGTGTGAATGCTCAGCGAACTGTCTGAGTGATGGATTCTATGTTTTCAGCAATTCATGTGTTGAATGGACCCATTAGAATAAACAAGTCACATACACTTACATCCCAAGTATTCAAGATTCAATTTGAAATATTATTGGATTTGATTCTGATATTATGAGTATTCGAAAATGCCCAGCCCGGGCCATAGTGCACATCTCAACACTGGGTAATAGCAATCACTTGACTTGAAATTTAATGTTTCATCTTTGTTTAAGTGAAATTTATTGGTCAATCTTAAATTATTTCTATCGGCAGTGTATTTTTTTTGTCAAATTTGATAAAAATAATCTAATTGTCGGATTTGCATAAGTCTCAAATAGATAGATGTCTCATGTAGATGTTTTTAAACCATATTTAGTTTTTTTCATTACAGTATAGCCTACACCTATAAACCATATTCATAATTATGTTCGTTTTCATCAGTCTCCTAATCAATTTTAATGTTCTTGTTTAGTGTTCATACATAAGTTGTCTTCTATCTGCATGACAAGCCTAGGTCCGTGACTGTAGTTGGCGTATTTTTCGAAAGTATGTGAGATTTAATATCATACAATAATGTGAAGCCAATTCTTACCTACATCAGATAAGTCCACATATTCAGATCATTATATTTATGTAAACTCCAAATAACCTAAATGGGAAACAAAATGATCAAATTTTTCATAGGGCCCAACCGCCACCATTTATTATTAACTGATGTCATTCTGATACCTATAGCCTATTGTCTGTTAGTAACACTAGGTATGTACGATTAAATTATAAACAGAAAAATTTGTACCACTTTTCTATTGTGCTAGGTATATTACTCACATCTCGATTTGGAAGGATTTTTTTTGTGAGTTCATATCCAAATACGAAAAATGGATTGATTCATACATTGTCTATAATAGTATTTGTAAGCGATATTTTAAACCAATCTTAATTGTTCTGATTGTGTGGTTATTCACAAAAATGACCATTTCAAAAAATAACTCAAGTAGTTTCGGGGTTGAATACAGAGCAGTACTAAGTGAATAACAAAAAACAACAGACTTCTAAATTTTGGTTGATGCTCATTACCATTTCATATGTTAACATCATTTATTTATTCATTATAATAACATAATTCAGAATAGTCAATTGAATATTGTAAACTCGATAAGTAATAGAAAATGCTCATGTTTGCTGCATAATATGACCCAATACACGTTGGTTGGTATTTGTGTTGTGAAATCTACTTGCAATATATTATCTGTACACATAAATTATTTATATCACCATACTAACATAATCGATGAGGTTCATTCAATTGAATTATTGTAAACTCAATAGGCTCAATGGCAAACTTTCCAAATTTTTTATTTTCCTCAATCGATTATCTTAGTTTTTGTGTGTTTAATTTTTGAATTTTCATCTGATTCAAAAAGAACACTGTATAAAATTTAGGCAATTTCTCATATTCTTTTTTTCGTTCAGTGTCTAGATTGTTTTAGCTTTTATTATTTTATGTGTGAAATATTTGTCCTCTATAAAGTCAATCACACGCACTATCCTTTGTGGACATTCCTTTTGTGTTTCAAAATATTGTCCTAATTATATATGATGTCATTCAAAGGTATTCATGCCCAGATGAGCTTTTAGCGTTGCCATCAATTAACATCGTCGCTTGGAATCGCATTTCGAGCCATCGGTGCTTGGCGTGACAACCGACCTCTTTGTCTGACATTTGTAGTCGTGTATACGGCACTTGTTGACATTTAGTATCAATGATTTTAATAGCCCTCAATTTTGTTTATTCGTGACTTTTGATGCTCATTTAGATGGAACATTAAGAGCGATAGTTTATATTTGCTCATAAAATTTACTCGTATCACTTTGTTGGGTGAGAAGTTGAGAACCGACGACGGTGATGTATTAACCTAATTAGATTGCGATTTATCGGCAGTTTACTGAACGATGTGAAGGGATAGCTGACAGTATATTCATATGAAGCTCTAGCGGTCGCAAGAAATGGATACTTTTGTAGTTAAACTTCTTTCAGCGTCCTTGCTATGGGTAATTAGTCTATGTTTTGGAGTTGCTTTGCCGTATTTGCTGTGGAAAATTTCTTCTAATAACCAAAGAAAAGACTTTGAAAATTCTGACGAAGGAAGTGACCAAGATACAAACGAATCGGAAAATTTGATAGTTTATGGAAATATTAATCGATGCCACAGCCCCACAGGTCGATGGAACCGTGTTGCGTCATGGATAAGAGTGAAGTTCACAAGCGGAAGTTTTTTTAGTCTGGTAAACTGCCTATGCGGTGGTGTGTTTTTGGGAGTCAGTTTGCTAGACCTCATGCCGCAATCCAGAGCCGCTGTTACGGAAGTCTTGGAACAATCCAAAACTGTGACCAACTATCCCGTGGCAGAGTTCATTGTGTCACTCGGACTATTGTTAGTCATGATAATTGAAAATGTGGTAACGGAGTTCATGCCATCGAACAATTCTCGGAGGTCTTCATATTCATCTGAACGTGACTCAAGAACGAGGGTAGAGGAAGAGAAAGAACGTGTAATAGGGTCAGATCTAGAACTTAGTGTTTCTTCATATCGCATGTATGTACTTGTAGTTACACTGTCTCTTCATTCCATATTTGAAGGTTTGGCCATTGGTTTACAGAAAGAAATTTCTACGCTTATTCAGCTATTAATAGCGATATGTGTACACAAAGCTGTACTGAGTTTTGGCATAGGGTTGCCTTTATTCGAGACTTTAGGTCGCGTGGGTAAACTTCACACCGCTATGATATGTTCCATAATATTTTGTACTGCTTCACCTCTGGGTTGTTTTGCTGGGGCTTTCGTATCTACGGACAGGTTCAACTCCTCGCCCGGCGCCTCGATAGCCAGCGCATTACTACAGTGCTTAGCGACCGGTACCTTTTTATACGTTACTTTTGTAGAGGTCATACCTCGAGAATTTTCGCACCATGCCAAACACGGCTCAAAATCAAAGCATTCGCCTAGAAAAAGAAATGATTTAGCAGGTGACAGCAATGATTCTGCCCTAGCTGGCCACAGCGATGATTTGGCTGAAGTTAGCATCTCTAATTCGCGGAGATCAAGCGTTTCTAAAACGCAAACTAAAAAGTCGCAGGTCCTAAAATTGCTTGCCTTATTAATAGGATTTGCTATTGCATCATCTTTACAATTTTTATGACAAGATTTCGACACCACAAAACTTTTTGACTACACAATGTGATCATATTATTATTACGTACTTTTATCGACCTATATAACTGTGTATGTACGATTGACTGTTATTTCTTCATTTTCGATATACTGTATTTGATATATGGCTTCGGTAACTTTTCACCGTGTATGTTATGATACGAAATAGTGCCTGATTATGCGTGTTGATGGGTCAAAGTTGAATTTAACCTTTTTATTGCCACATTCTTTATACACACTGATAGAATATTGCAATGGCTTTAAATTCAAAGTTCTTTTTTGATAAATTGTGGCGCATGGTAAAGATTTCCAAACTTTGTTTGATTTCGACCAGGTAAAGCGTTGTTATTCATCTAATGTTTTTTCTCCAATTCTCTAACAATTGTAGCAACATTTTGTATTCAAATTAAATTACGAAGAAAGCACCTTTCAATAACATATGCAATTTTATTAGTAATATCATAGAATCTGTACCAAGATTATTATATATGTAATTTTATGTTGAAATTTATTCACTGTTTTGCATTTAGGGTAAAATCTTTCATTATAACTGCATATTATGGAATCTGATCAATAAGATGTTATATAAACTCTCTATGAATGTATTGAGCAAAGAGTAGTTATAGCCTCATATTCCCCAGAAGGAATAAATAATTTATACTTCACCTTGGGTAATCGTCTAATATTTTTCTAACAGTGAAACTCAATTGTACGTTCATGTCATGGAATTTGTGAAAGGGCCTTCACATAACAAGTTTTTATATGTGAATGATTCACTCTGATATTTTATTACAGTTCATTTGGACATTTCTATCTATTTTTTCAAATGGCAATTTCATAGGATGTGCCCGTTGGGAGGTGGTAGTTCATGTAATGACTATTATTTAATGGCATAGAATAGTTGCCTTTGTTGTTACTCATTGATGCCGACGGACTGGTGATTCTTGATTTTAGATATTTCCTCAACTGACGAACCAACTATCAAACTGGAACGAATGTTTGAGGAGTTATTGTTATATTTCTATAAATTTATAACCAGTTCAAAAATTGTCAACCAATTCCGTGCAATAAATGCCATAGTTTTGAAGGGTATAATTAGTTTTATTGCTTGTTGATTTATCGATCGGTAGCGCTCGGTGCGTCTGCCAACTGATATTAAGCATAGCGCTTGTGGAAAAATATGACATACAGTTGTTCTCGGGTGCGGGTGAGCCTATGGAAGTGGGTTAACAACGAGATTGATTGGTCAAGTCAAGGTTTCATCGTAGAAGATTGAACACATATTTTAAGTTAATGTTTCATGGAATTGTTTTGTTAGGAATAATATTTACGTCTCGAGCTGCATACTTACAAACTGCTGCGATCTCCCGCGCAAAAAAGTTTTTACAAGTCATTGTTATAATCGCGTCTTTATCGGGGATCTGGTAATTTCGAAAATTTGGCGAGGCAAGATGAATGCGCAGCGAGAGAGATTTCGATAATGCTTTGAAAGTCATTTTTTTTACGAATCGTGGTATTATTTACAATCAAGTTGTGCTTTCGTACGAAAAAAGTAATTGCTTACCTGAAAATGATCCGCTGCAAAAACTGAACGCTAATAGTTCATAAACGGCGCGTTGATGGCGTATCAAGAGATGCTGACTAGATGAAGGGATTTTTCACATACATGGTACGAGTAGGATAATCCTGAACAAGCATTTTATGGCGCTCCTGAAGTATGTGCACCAAGATGGCGCACAACCTGAACCCTAACCTAGTTCACATACTATATTCAGGTTGTGCGCCATCTTGGTGCACATACTTCTGGAGGTCCCATTTTATTGCCTTTCAGGCGATGTATCTTGTGCGTAGTAGCAGTTATTGGGAATAAAATGCTCGTGACGACATATATACTAATAATTTAGGCTACAGAAGAATTTTGATAGGATTTTAAACAAAAAATGTAATTGCCTTAAATTATAGTAATTGTTTTTCTGTGACAAATTGACTTTTTGAACGTCAATTTCCATCCTTACGTTGGGAAGGAAATATCTCTGTGATGAAATCGATAAGAATGTACTTAATATCGTTAAAAGAAGTGGCAGAGTACTTGAATTCAGAGCTATATTTCTTTAATAATTGAAATTTCTTAAATAGTCCTGCAATGACTTCCTAAAATATATATGTCAACAGACAATATGTTTGGATGGTAGAGAAATCTGATTTGCATCGGTTGAAGCTGCAAATAGTCCTGCAATGACTTTATAAAATATGTTAACAGACAATATGTTTGGATTGTAGAAAAGATCTAATTTGCATCGGTTGAATCAACGTATCTGCAATGTAGGTAATCATATTGAAGGAAATCCAATAAATGCTCTACCTATATGCTTTTAACCTTTAAAGACTTATGAAAAATAGCATTTTATTTAATGTATCATTATAAGAATTCAACTAAAATAAAATTCCCATACTACGTATGCTTTATTTGCCGTCAGGTGATGTTTTGATCGCATTTTTTGGCGGAGTTTACATAAGTATTTGAAGATGCACAAGGCTAATCGAATAATAGGTATAGTACATGAGATTAACGCAGGGATGTCAGTCATTGGCAAGCAAGAAGTGTTGCACCGAATGAGACCAACGTATCGGGATGGTTCCATTACATTTGAACCCACGTACATTTGAACCCATGACAATTGCACCTGTATGCTATTGCACCTATGGAATTTTTTTTGTTCCACGGATAGTTAAACCCATACTAACCCTAACACATGGGTTTTAGCACCCGCATATAGATTGAACTCGTGGATATACGCATGGGTTCAAATGTACGGTCACCTATCGGGATATACGCTAAAATCAATCTAGGTTTCACAGTATAGTGGTGATATATCTAACACACAAATAACCGAAGAAGACTAATATTATCACAAACATAGACTGAATGTTTCAGTGTTTTTCAAATAAGAACGCTATCCCACCAAAGGACGTGCAGCATATACCAACATGGTAAATTAATCTGTATATTTGTAGCGTTGTTAGATTTTCACATACAAACGCTAATCAATTCAGGTACTTAAAAACTACGATTTGTAACAAATTGATGAAATAAAATCACTAATTTTTTTAATATGCCATTCTATAAGTTCCAGTGTTTTCATCGCTCTGGAGTGATGTAGATATGTGTTTCACATAGTGATATGATGATAAAATCCACCTTATTTTCAAGAATCTTGTCGTTTGTTATAAATATGAATTTCAATCATCCTTTTTAGGCACCAAAGCGAAAACCCCATTCTTTCATGAAATTCTACATAATATGTAAAAAAAATATGAGCATAAATTTCATTCGTCACAATTAAAGTATAATATTGATTAGACGGCAGGCTACAAAAATTATATTATAGATGGCGCAGTAGCCCTATATCATATCAGATATATAAAAAGACATAATCACATAATGGTTTACGAGATTTGCCATCACAAAATTTATCACTCGTATCAACGAGGAATGAGAAACCCCATTCAAATACTATTAGAAAACCTGATAAAATATAAAATAATCCACGAAATCAATACCATTCTAGAAAAATGTTTAGGAATATGATGGTATGGTTTTTAGCGTCAACTACGCCAAATATATGATTCAAGGCAGTGGTTCTCAAACGGTGTGGCACGCCCCACAAGGGGGGCTTTGTCAATCTTCCGAGGGGCGTGAAGCTAATTAAAAATATAAACATTTGTTAGACTTTATCTTGCCCGCCTTATTTTGAATATTTGCATTTCTTCATTTGGGATATTTATGTTCTGTCCATATATTTCCAACGTGTTTTTTGAATAAAACATACTTTCAACTTACTATCTGTTAATTGTTATTAGCTTATTGTTAGCTAGTTATTTTTGTGGTGGTTTGCGAAATTTGACAAATTTTGAAAAGGGGACGCGGCCTGAAAAGTTTGAGAACCAATGATTTATGAAATTTATGGTATGATTTTAGGAAACAACTACGCTAAATTTATGATTTGGGGATTTGTTCGCATTTTGTTTCTATATAGTGTACTCCTATTGCGTTATCCATATCACGCGAACAATAGAGCTTCAAATTTATTGGCAATTCATAATTAAATTGTAATTAATAATTTATTTATACCAGGATAACAGTAATGTGTAAATTAAAATAAATTATACATGTAATTTAAAATTGCTCGATCAATCGTCAATGTGCAGGAACACATATAATGTAATTTCAATATTTTGCAACTAGCTGTCTATTTGAAGTTGGACTTCACTTCATCCGAAAACACAAATGGACATTTTCGAAATTGAGTTCTAGATTTTTACTGTTGGTTTATTTTGGTATTTGCAAACTTTGGCTCCAGTTTGTTTCTGAACAGGTTGAACTATGAAAGTGGGTAGATATTCCGGCATCGTGAAGAACATTCATAAATGCTGCAATTTGTGACAAAGTTGGGTTTGGACTCGGGAAAAATCCCCATACAAACCTATGTTCTGAAAAAACAAAAAGTGCAAATTGAATATTGCATTAGGTTACAAAAATGACATTGTCTTAAATTGATGCCATCAAAATTTCGACACTAATTATATATACGGAAGAAAATTGTTATTTTCCAACAGTAAGTTTCTTTTTTTCGCATCTTTTGTACAAATCACCCGTCACTAATGCAAAAATGTGAGATTTGATAAAAAAAATAACCGCCACGTTTTAAAATAAAAAATTAGTTATTATCCAGTTGGGGTTAGGAATGATTTGAAAATTTAAATTCCCAGCACAATCTACATTCCTAACCCAAACTCCAGCTATAGATAATCACAAATTTTCGTACTTTAGCGTTTTCGGATACTTTGTACAAAAGATCCTCTTTTTCAAACCATTATCTATTATCGGATCCGGTGGACAGATGAAGCCTGCAATATAGTTTTTGTAGTCAGTCAGAAACACCTGGTTTCCATCAGCTACAACGTGATCTGTTTAAAGTAGAAAAGGGAATGTCGTTATTTGTTGACAAACGCAACACTAACAGCTATTAATATTACAGTTTCAATTACGTGTAATTTTTACCGTATGTATACTATTTACCTATACGTAGCACTGTTTTCTCATCAAGTCCGTTCGATTCTCTGACGTACTCAGCGTGATCAAGTTCTACAATGATACAATTTGTGTTAATTTACTTGAAGTAATGCAAAGGTAATGAAATCACTGTTGCTGTACTAATCTGCTATTTTTTAGTAAGAAATATATAACAAACACCTATTGCAATATCAAATATATGACTATTTGACAAAGTTTATGAGCATAAACATAATATACTTATCAAAATACCTCTCTCCGATTTACTAACGCGATAAATTCCGTTTTTAACGTAGTTGAAATGGTTTTCAAATTGCACTAATCTGAAAACAAGGAAGTCTCTCAAGTTTATAAGTGATTTTTCCTTTTTGTATGACGTGTGAGCATCTGACCAAAAAAAGTCTCATTTACTTCAATCCTGGTCAGGAAATATTTCAAGTGTTTCATATTTTATATGTTTGCTCATGGCCCCAAAGGAGGTATTCCTAAATCTATTCAATGAATTACATAAATAGTTTTGTGATTTTCTTGTTGCAAAGATTGCAACACCGACATTGGTATGTCAGCGGGACCACATCTTTTACACTTGAAATTATGATGAAATGCAGAACAATTTGTCTGGACTTCACCATCAACTATCAAGTAAATTTTTCAACAAAAGGGTTTGTGTTATAGAGTTTGTTAACTCTAATATCTGAATTACTTATAAGACTTTAGCTGTCACCATGTTCGGTTAGAACGACTCCAAATCCTGACGTCGTAGAGGTGAAATTACTAAATCTTACACAAGTGATCGCCGATGCTGTGATATCCTTTGTCTGCAGTCCGGTATACCATGATGTATTGGATAGCTATAACATTGAAGACATTAAAAAACTAGTTTGCTATCCTCTAAACTACAGAATTTTTCCGAATTCAAACAACAAAATCTAATAGATTATAACAGTCATAAAAAATGAATTTCGACACAAACCTACCCTTTCCACATCAAGCTTCTTTCTCATTTCAGGAAGAAGACATCTCTCTGATTCGGCTGCACTCAATTGCACTGAACTCAATAACGATAGTAACATTAACAGAGCACTTGAAATCATGATGACTATAACGGAAACACACTTCTCAAAATTACCCTTACAATGATTCTATATAAATAAAGTAAAAATCAATGTGTTGAGCGTCCTGATTTTGTGTATTCCACCAATCAAAGTAGTTCACGTATTCGGAAGATAGTTAATTATATTGGTTAAAATGACAATTGTGTCTTTCTATATTTGCACTGTCGACTGTGAAGAATTTTTTAAAACTGTAATTTTATCAAATGGAACAAAACAAAAATGAGTTGCACTCTACAAAGATGTAACTCAGATGTTGCTGTATAATATATCGTATATAAATCGTCCAAGCCGTGCCTTCATTCTATTTTTCTGAGAACTGTGAATGATTTAATAAACGTGTTCCTGACTCATTGCTTTGTTTTTTCATATATGTTTACATTATATCAAAATTAATTGCAAATTTTTTATGCACTGTGAAGGATTAATATAAACGTGTTCCTGACTCATTGCTTTGTTTTTTCATATATGTTTACATTATATCAAAATCAATTGCAAATTTTTTATGCACTGGCACAACTATCAAATATGAGCCGACAAAGTATAAAATAGCTCTTGCAGACGCATTAGGGTTTTCATATCGAACGTTCGTTTAGTGATTTTAAAACCTTTTATAATCACAATGTATTAAAATGTCTCATTTGACTCGCTAGAAGTTTGGCAGGAATGATGCAAGCAAATAATTATTGAACATTTCAAGGTACTTGATACTTTTCGATCAATTTCTGGTCATGTACGAGTCACAATAAAACTATTTCAATTGTTATTTTAATTTTGGACTGAATCATTTTTTTCAAAACTCAACGAACCTTATTTTATTGTGTAGAAAAAGCTAAAGCACACAAATCTTATAACCATGTAAACTCATGAATCTCATTTTTATTTTTACTTCTAATTCAAAACTTCAGACAGAGAACTACGCACAAGATATGCGCAAAAAATCTATTCATCTTGAATACAAAAAAAATCATGTGCAGGCTTTGTCTAGAAGCTGGTATGTGGAGGTTGTTTCTGGGAACTAATATATTTTATATTTTTTGATAACCCATGTAATGATCATACCACAATCGTAATATGGCGTTGCTATTAGTTTTAGGTTGGCTAAAATCATCCGTTCTTTACGGATTAGGTCATGTTGCATGTTTATTAAACGTGAACAGCAATTTTTGTTACATATTTCAACCAATATAACATAAAAATATACGATGGACTATAATAAATGCGGCGGGCGCACATTGAATTAAATGAGTTAGAGTTTTGTTTTCGTGGAATATGACGAATGTGAACAATGGATAATGGTTTCAAGATATAGCATAACTGTTTATTTTTTGGACTTGTGTGAAACCTGCTTTTGAATTCCATTTCGTAACCTTTAATAACGCTGACATCTATGGTACTGCGCAAGATAATTGGCAACAACAACAGTATGTCCCACCGACCAGCTCTCAATAGTCAGGTTGACATCCATTGCATCACAAAAAATCAATGACTCAACTTTGGCGGTGCGAAGTGATATCTGAAATGAATACAGCTTTGGCATTTCCAAATTTTCTTGTAAAGTGGTATAAAAAGTGGTGACACCCGCATCGATATAATAAATTAGAAACAAAACACATTATTGACCAAAACCTTGATATGCCTTTCATAGTCCATGTAAGTGAAGAAATCGTCTTGAAACTAGTGGTCCCATGTCGTCATCTAAGATCATGTTGACAGGGAGTGCGGACCTCCCTGCTGTCCTGAGTTTAAAAACTGGAAGTAGTAGCTTAACTGCTGGTTTTTGTTCAGTGATCATGGAACAGTTATAGTAATATACACCAAAACAAGTTTGTCCAGTCGCATTATTTGGACAATCTCGAGCTCAATGACCCGTTTGCTTACAGTGGGGGCATGGCGTAGATTCGTAGAATGTGGTAGAAGAGCTTGTGCACGACGGCAATCACGGATTTTATGCCTCACCATCCCGAATTTGAAACAAGAGATATTGGAACTTAATGATACGCGGGATTTTCACGTATACGCTACTATGGCCTCCAGTCGTACTAGACCAGGGGTTCCCAACCTTTTTATCTTAATTTCCCACTTCCGATTTAGGCTGAGTTATTATTTCCCACTAAATATTGACTCCCTTAACAGGAATAATTTTTCCGTCAATATTAATTGGTAAGACTTTCTGTAATAAAGGCTTGCAATTGGTGTAAAAGTTGAAACCCCGTGGAAACATTCATTGCGCCCTCTAGCATCCCAAGATATTGACAATCCGAATAGAACAATTCAACACATAAGATTACAAAGGACGTATCAAAGTTTACATTGTACCGTCAATATCAATTTTGCTTTTTTTTCGATATGATAACCGGATGTCTGAATCTATTTTGAAAATGCGCATAGCTATTGGACAAGGAGACCTGTTCATCTTTGACGCAGCTGACTCACTCAGCGAAATATCAGCACACTCCACCAGATAAAGTTTCATCAATGTCTCACCGATGTTATGGGACGTTTTGGTCCTTACTATTCCCAAGACAACTGCATAAGACGCAGTCACTTTAAACCTGTCTGAAATTGCCCCGTTCTGTCGAATATCATTTTGCTTTTATTTTTCGTTTTTTTTTCAGCAAACGGATAAGGAAATGGATATTGGAAATATGTTGCTTCATTTGATGGGGCTTCATCGAACCATTGGATATCGTCACGCTAATAACCGAATTGCGTAAGTCATTTTTAGCAGTTTCGAGAAAAACGTGAAAAACTTCCTATTGGTATTGTTTTGCCATGTAGAGTAAATAATTTCCCATGGTTCATCATTTTAGTCGTAGCCGGATTTAAATTAATTTGTATGACGCAGCCATGTGACGTCATAATGGTGCACTGTGACTTACGCAGAAATGCGCCTGTGACGTGGTGACATACGCAATTTCGCAACTTTGTTGTAACTATCATTCCTCGAAAGCAAACATTCAAAAAACGAATGTAATTTACAGTCTCTACAATGTCCAAACCCCTAAACATTATTTTTTTTATTTTTGAAATATATATTTCAACAATTTAATGCGCTCTAAACACCCACCAAAAATAAGACTTTCTATAGATATTGATTATAAAGTGTAAAAAAATAAAAAAAGAGCGCTGAATTGCAGGTGTGTACGACATTCAAAATACGATTCAATCATAACTTTAACCTTGTCAACACAAACATACCATGCCATTCAACAAACAATGGAGAATTCATTGAAAAACAGAAGAAAAAAAAACTTTTGTAAAATTAACTACTCAGCGAAACTAACATAACTTTGCATTTCTGTTTAATGACAATATGGTAGTTATTTATTATGAATGGTGTGGAATTTTGTCATAAAAGCAATGTGCGAATGTTGGCAGCACTCTCTTCCTTTCTTGAAAGTCACAAAATTTTCTACAGCTTATCTTTAAGTTGACCTGGAAACAAATTTATCCATTGGAATGGTTTTTCAGGTTTATGCATTCTGCGTGGAAGTAATTCCCACTCATCCATCCAGTTTTGAAGTGAATAGTGGAAGTATACTGTATTGCTCGGAGATGATGCATCTTTGGATCACCTGCTGTACTTCCAGGGCGTATACTGGCAAAGTATTTCCCCGTCATTTTCTTAAAATCCTGATGTTGTACTGGGTTGACCTGGTATGGAAATGGCAAAGACCTTGCACACTACATGATTACGTGATAATCATGTGACGTGATAACGTCGGCCACTTTTTTTTACAATCATGGAATGCATTGAATCCACTCCCATCTGAGTGTGTCCAGTTGTTAGAAATTTCTGCGTTATTTCAATTTTATGTTTCCGTGCCAAATCTAAATATGCATTTGCGATGATTACATTACGGTTTTGATACCCACAACCGTCACTCCATATCACTAGTTCTTTTATTGAAGGATGATCTGTAACATATTGATTGAAATGAGAGAACTGTAGCGAGGCAAACACTTCACAGTTTTACCTTGAGAAAAATAGAAAATGAATGTCATTATTCAATGAATATTACATTGTGTATTAATTGCTCTCTTTGCTACATACCTTTTCTTGGACGATGCAGGTCCAAAAACTTTATGAATGGTGCGGGACCTTCCAGCCACGAGAGCAAAGTTCGTTGGCTAATGTCAATTGTAGCCGAAAAGAGTTTTTTGCACACCAGAATGCATGTTCCATTTTGTAATTGTAAATGGTATTCAAAAGATGACTTTCTTCTTGACATATTTTCAGCAATTTTCCTTTGCTTGGTGGTAACCTGCGAAACAGTAAAAATTTAATTAAATGAGATGCGGAAATCGTGACATAAAATCAGTGTTTCTAAATATCGTTTACCTTCGATACTGAAGCCCTGACATATGATCGTCTTTCAGACCACGATTCCATTTTCCAAAAAATTTTGAAAACCCACTGTCTCGCATCTTCTCGCAGACTCGATTGCCGTAAGCTGGATTTTCGACAATCCGTGAATTTGCACGGCATCCCCATTTTTCTTGCTATATTTTGCTTTCCTTTTCGGCTTTTGTAATTTAATCCAGCTAGACGATTCCTTTTGCAAATATAATTTTTCCATCCAAAGGGGCGCGCCCGTTTTACGCGTTTCCTTTTACCCAACGTCTAAAACAGATAACGAAAACATGATTTAAAGTGTAACGTTAGCAGCAATGATGATATTAAATAAATTGAAAACAAAAACAGGACTAACCACTGTGGAATTGCGTTGAGCGTAGTTGGATAATTTTTTAGATTTAACACCTTGCCAATTTTCTTCATTCTCATCACACTCTTGAAAAAAAAAAAAAAGTCTGGGTCTGAATCTGACACACTTTGGGTTTCAAGCATGTCATCTATAAGAATAAAATACATGGTAGTCTACGTCTTTTACTAAACTCATTTTTAGTTGGTACCGTAGACGTAGAGCGTCGACTGACGAAATTTTGCAAAAATGAAATATAGACCTACAGACCCACCTCAATCTTTATTTTCTATCCTCATAATAACTTAATTCGCATTAAGGTTTTTCAGAAGAACTCATTTTAATCGCTATATAATGACAAGACACAACATCTAATAATGGCGCACAACCTGACGGCACCGATGTCTGCTGAGGACAACCTCGATATAATGGGTATGACGTCATAATATCGTTGATGGTATCGCTTTAGAAACGTTGCAAAATTGCGTATGTCACATCCATGACTTAGGCAAAGCGTTTTTTTCTCCCAGT